ATTATGGAGTTGGGTTGGGAAGTTTCCCCCACCCACCATATTTTCCAGATAAGGCACCATGAAATTACCATTATTTGCTGCAACATCATCTTAATGGAAAAACGTATGCAAAAGTGGAAGGTGTTAAAGAGGACATCAACATGTTTTTTGCTTCAAAGCCAAGAGAATTCTTTAATCAGGGCATTAACAACTTGAATGTAAGATGGAAAAGCATTATCAATAAGAATGGAGACTATTTCATTTGATAAATGTTTTGATATATAAGTTGTTCGGGTTTTAAAAAAAAAAGTAACATTAATTTTTTGATGACTTAATACATCCTTTGAATAAACACATATAAAGTATACTAAAATAACTTTACTTCTCTTTGTATATTTCTGATCTATGGGCTCATTACAAGTTTAATCAAGTTTACCTAGGCATTTTTGGGCTATACAGATCTCTCTTCTGAAGCATTCATTGTCATTCTGACATTCTTGAACACAATGGTCTTCAATGCAGAACTCTCCATCTGCACAGTCTTGAACAGATTCACAGGGAACTGGCCAGAGAGTGAGAGAAAAAACAGAATTTAACTGATAAATCTATCCTATTTTTTAAATACAACTTAAGTTAAAAAATAAAAAGTCTGATAATAGAAATACTAAATATTTATTGGGAGAAAACTATGAAAATGTAATGTGCAATTCCATAAACAAAACAGTTCTCACTTTACATTTTTCATAAGTCGAAATTACATACAATTCATTAATGTTTAGTCTAATAAAATATCATTACAAAACTGATAACTAAAAAATGCATTAAAATTATATTGTGGCAAATATACACTGTAATGGTACTTTTTTATCAAACAAATATTTATTTCATTTCCCTCAGGGAATGATGTTTGATAACTTTGGTGTTATATAGTCTAATTTGGCATAAATAATATGTTTGAATGTGTATAATTGTTACATGATTATGTGCTTGTTTGCTTTAGATATTTGAACAAACCTATACAAAGGCTATCTGTACTATATGTCCCTAATTTTGAACTGATAGACTAGAGGGAAAGCAGATAGTCAGCAGTATCTACCACAAACTATTGGGTTAACTCTAACCAAACATAGGATTTGACCATCACTTTTATAATGCACCCAATTCCACAAAGCAATGGAACACAAACCATGGACCCTTAAATTCACAGTCTGGCATGATAACCACTGGACCATGAATGGCCCTACGTGACTGTTGTAAGTCACATCAGGTACACTTAAATGTTTAAATGATCGCCTTGCATTCTTAGTGAAGTGTGGTTGATATTTTATATAGTTTAATTTAAATTTCACCTGACACTAAGTAGATACTTGATTGTGTGACAAGCATAATGTCTTTATGGTTGTCTAAATTATGTCAAAGGTGGGATTCACCAATTTTTAAAAGCCACTACCAGGGAATACTTCATCATCTATATAATTAAAAGAGTATGTTTTTGAGTGAAATCTTTTTAAACTACATTAAACTATGCAAAAATGAAATTAGGAGTAGGTAAGTACAGACAACATCACTATATATACATGAGGGAAGGGTGGAGGTAAAATAGTACTAGGCATTGCAAATGGAAAGGTATATCATCAGGAATGGATCTGTCATTCTTCAGAGTTCCATTTCAAACAGCAATGTTTATGTGTTATGGTTTTATGTATAAATTTAATAATTTCTTTTAAGACACTCAGAGTACCAGTATCTCTGAGTTTTAATACTTGTTCTCGATTCCCAGGTTTTGAAAGTGCCACTAGATCCAGTGTCTCTTATTAGTTAAATAAGTTTTGTCATTTCTGATGAGACCATTCAGCTCAAATTGTCTTTTTTACTAGAGATATTTGATGGGTATTGTGTTATGGAATGGGTTTAACCTTGCAGTCACTGAGATGCCCTGCATGGCCATCAAATTCATTCAGAGTTCTATGTACATAACTCATACATGACTAGTTTAGGCAGGTCACTTAATTGTAGGGCAGCAGAAGTGATCCTGACTAGTTTCACATTTTATAAATTTTGTACATTTAAATACAAAATACCACAACCAAAAAAATGTTTTGCACAAGAAGCAAGTTTCCTCCTAGTTGAGTATTATGAAGTTACAATTTATATGACAACTGAACTGATTATGCTTCATAAAAATTTAAATCACAAAGCACGTTTGAGAAAAAGAGTCCTGTACACTGTGAGCACAACAGTACAGTCAAACTTACTGTGTGTGTCAAAACTGAAGCCATAATAATGTAGATTCTTTATCAGTTTCCATTATAAATGTTAACAATTTTAAATGATTTTTTTCTTCCTTACTTTAATTGAAAAATGTTAGATAATTCCTAAGTAATTTGAACAATAACTTGTTCATGTCAATATAAAAAGAAAAATACATTACACAAGAGAAAATTAAACAAAAAATATTTGTTAACAAAATATTATCAAACTTTAATTTTTTTTAAAAGAAACAAAAATAACAACGTTGAAAGGAAATCTGAAACATATTAATTTTTCATAAAATATATCATATTTATTATTACAGAGTTTTACATTATTGCTAAACTGTAATTTCTACTGTAACAAGCTTCTGTAAAGAATAGTAAGGTCAGTCTTAGACCATGCATCTTGATCTTGACAAGCTTTCTACAGGCCCTCCACCAATTTAGATGTTGACTTCCAAGACCATTTTTAACACTCAAACTACCTACTTCATTTTATAACATTCTCTATCTACGTCATCTACGTATTGCATCATATTGAGAAATATTTTGTGCTAGTCTGCTTTAACATTCATGTGAAGAACTGACCAAAAACAAACATTCTGGGTGAAATCATTTTCAATGTAAAACACATAAGGGATTCCAGCAGCAGTCAGTGGAGGTTCACAGCAGTATATTGATAGCATATTTTATTTAAAATTTTTATGTGACATCCTACATATTGGAAAACCTGTAACCAACACATTCATGAATTCACAAGCAATTTAGTGGACAAACAGTTCACAAAAATGTATTACAAAAGTTTATGGGGTATCTCCATCAATAACTCTAGAGCCACACAAACTAAAAGCAGAAACATGTATTGATATTGCATCAGGTGAAATGAAATGTGTATGGTAAAATGTGGGGGTGTATGCAGAAATCTGTAAAATGGGTTTTACTTTGGGAGGAAAAAAATAAATGAGTGGCAAAGTAATACTGAAGGATACATGGTCATGCTCCTTGGAAAATAGTTATTGAAAATGGTGTATTTTGATGGTGTCTGAGGCTACTTTTATAACTTATAAATATGTTCCATGCATATATGGGTGCAATTTCAGGGATATGACCACACACACACACACCCTCTGCCTAATTACATTAAGTGGGTAGGAGAATGCTGTAATTCCACTTTATATGTTAATCTTTTTCATGGAAACTGCTGTTGATTTCAAGGTGTGGCTGGTAGTTTGTGAAGTTCTTGCTTGTGAGCTTCGTCAGTTTCATATTCTTGATTTTTATCATGTTAATGTTATCAAATGAAACACTCAATTTCATCATAAGTGGTATTAGTAAAATAATATAAGGTGCAATCATTGTAATACCAAAACTAATGTTTCTATTGTTTGATAAAGCCCTTTTCCAGATTAAAGCTTTAGAAATCTGGTTTATGCAGACAGTAAGTGCAAACTACCAACACTAAATAGCGCTGTATAACTCCAAATTTCTACCAGGTGTTACCGCTTAAACTACAGGAAACATTTATTTAAATTTACTTAAAAGAAAAACAATAATCACAAAACATACTGAAAGTTATTTTTTTTAATTCATGAAATGTGTAAAACACTAAACAAATACATGTATACTCACATCTACAACGTTGATTACTGCATACAAAACCAGCAGAACATTCCTTGTCACTTTCACAAGCAACCAGCACTAGAAGTGAATACATAATCAGGATTAATATGCTGACTTTATCATCAAAATTACTTGTAAAAGTTATCATATACTGTAATAAATTTTTTATGTTAATATTATTCTTTTAATGATTTTTATGTGTTAAAATAACATATTTGACAAAACATATGACATACAGTCAACTATCATTCTGAGAAAATTAGAATTTTACTACAGAGTCATTAAACTAACTTCTTACCTCTCACGCAGCCACGGATGGGATCATTAGGGTTACCACTAAATTGCTCAGGACATTGACAAACAGGCTGATGGTACTCAACTTTGCAGATAGCATTACGACCACAAACATCAGACAACTGACAAGGATCTATGGAACATTAATAATTACAGTTATATTTCTCCATAACTTTTAACACACACACACACACACATATATATATATATTGTGAAATGTGATCAAACTGTAATTAGAACAAACATGTAAAAAAAACATTTGGTTTTGAGGTCAGATAAAAAGTTAGTACAGAACTTTCATATAATTTAGGTTCAGAATAAAAGTAAATGCATGCTCTAAAATACTTTATACATTAAGATCATTACCATGTAATAGGCTTAATGTTTTATACTATATTTTTCTCAGTCTTTATCTAATTGAGATATGGGTAGTTGCTAGACCTGCAAACTAAACTGAAAAGTTTTGAATAATATCTTAGAAACAATTGTCTCCACAATTTCAATAGGAAATATATTCAGGTAAAAAATGCTTATTAAAATGAAATTCTTCTTCTTTGAAGGCAGCTTTAGGCTGTGTGGTCAATATCTGGGGGAATAGTTTTGTGAATAATTACTGCCTTGCCTTTATTGGTAAGGAAGGACTCAGGATGGAGCATGAAACATTGTCATCTACAAACATAAGGCAGAAGCTGTACAAAGAAAACCTTTCCCAAAATGAAATAAATATCATTTTAAAGCAATTGTTCTTCATTGTTTCAGTAGTTTTATTCTTTAGACTTATAGAGATGAAACAAATGCATATTCTAGTCAATGTAAAATTGATAGTTAGTAGTATGAAAGACCACTAAATATTCTTGTAAGAAAACATTCACTTTGATATAAAGAAGTATACATCTGTCTATCTTACAACTATCTAATCACCCACCTAGTAGGATTATCATTATGAAAAATAAGGTAAACAATTTCTACAAATGACTTTAAACACATACTTTTACATATTGGTGTACTCAAGCCATTGGTGACACAAGTAGCTGTTGGTGGACAATCAGTGTTTCCACTAGGGCATTCATTAGGCCCTCGACCTGTCAAGATAGAAAAATTTAGTAATGATGGCTTAAATGCATAAGCAGTGATAGATGAGCTCATCTAAATTTATATTTTATTCAAACCTTGTATGAGTTATAATTAATTTACATATTAATGAGCATATGCTTTTTATTTTGCTACTTTGTTATTGCAAAACAACAGTTTTTAACAGGAACTCAGCTTACAGATGGCCAGATTTTGTTCTTTAAATCACAATTCCTCATAGAATTGTAGCTGAGAGATACCTTGTACTTCAATTTAATAATGACCCATTATATGCATGTTATTTAAGTTTTCAAAAGGCTTGAACTGGTTTTTAATGTACTTTAAGTTTCTCTCTAATAAAATCAGTGATACTTCTCAACAGCTCCTGTGTATTATATGTAATACAAAAATATACATGTCTGTAAGCACATTTTTCCTGAGAATTAATCACACTTTATAAGAACAATGTTCCAAGTCCTATACTGCCATTGTGTTCATTCTGATGGCCATGACTACCCATTATGGCCCGATACTGCAATTTCCATCATAACAGGTTCGTTTCAAGAGTGGCAAGGTCAATCTTAAACCACACATTTAAACAAATTTTTCACAAACCCACATAATCTGTAGATGTTAATTTCCAAAACCATGTTTAAGCAAATCAAAGGCATAAAAGTCTATTGGACCTGCATTAGGGGACTTAACAGATATGTGACTGAATGGGATTGCTTTGATTTTAGTTTCATCAATAATCTTTTGTTTGAAAACAGCAATTGATTTAGTAACATGACTAGGAACTTGTGAGATTTGTCAACTCTAAATCCTTGTTAATTACTTTATTAAAGGTAGCAAGAGATAAATATAGAGAACACTGATAACTCTTTTCTTTTGAATATCATTTAACAATCTCACTACACTTCAAAAAGAGTATGATACATTTCTTCAGTCATAATGCTACTATAGTAGCATTAAACTATTAATATGTTTAAATTCACCAGGAACCAAATATATAGGTGCTGAACATGTCACCCGTGATTCCATAGCATGTATCTCCAGTAATGTGCTGCTGTCTTAGTGTACGAAAATCGTTCCTATAAAGTTCCATTGACCCTCTGTATGCATACATGTATAAGTAGATACACAACCGTCTAAGAAACCAATGAAAATCCTATAATAAATCTTATATATATAATAGCTAGTCCAGTTGTGCTCATTTTAAAGTTACTATAAGCTTAAAACCTCTAAATGCCTGAGTTGCTCCATAACATGTATGGTTAATTGTTATAAATGACAAGCTAAGGTTTCCATTAAAAATTTCAAATGGCTTACACCCTGGATGGTTGTATGGATTTCCTATATTCTTGTCTTCTGGGCACTGACATTCATAGCCACCAAAACGGTTCCTACAGTTAGCTGTTGGATGGCATGGACGTTTGACGCAGTGGTCAATCAACTGGCAGCCAGACAAAGGATCACCTTCGTAACCACTTCGACAGCGACAGACTGCTGCATGGTCCTCAGCAATACAGTAAGCATTTTCTCCACATAGTGAGTGAAGGGTGCAGGGATCTATAAGTTAGATATATTTTTAGGTCAAAATTATTTAACAACACTAATACCTGGAAATGACAGACATCTTTAGAAATGAAGAAATGACAAAAAAAAATTATAATTAAAAATGAAGTGGTATTAAATTACTAAAAAATCAATGTTTATCAGAGACTTTGCTGACACAGGCTTATTGGCATCATTCTTAAAGTATAGAAAGTGACAAAAAGAAAAGCCTTAACGTTTTACTGAAACTTTAAATTAGTCTTTTATGTAAATGTTAAGTTAAACTTTATATTGTACAATATAAAACATAAGAATCAAAACTTTTATAAGAGAAGAAGAATATGTGAGTTGATAAAATCAATTTTGCTTAATTCAGTTTCTCCCAGAATAAGCCTTTTTAAAAACTTCTGAATTCTGTATTCTTACCAACACATTTGCTGTTGTGGCAAACTTTATCTTGCTGGCAGTGTTTATGAGCAATACATTCAGCTGTAAGGAAACAAAACACACACAGCTTTAAAACTTTTATCATACGTGACACTGAAACAACATACTAGATAATACTTTACCTGATCACCTAAGAAACCAACAGTTAGTAATTCCAAGCATGGTAAAAAGACATTTAATTTGTCTCTTAAAAATTTCATGGGACATCATTTATGATTACCAAAAGATTTTATCCATGATTGAAATTAATGCAAGAGTTTTTTATGTTAATATCTCTGACACATAGATATCAATTGAGATATTTAATTATATGATTATGATACACTTCTTTCCTCTTGGTTATGACATAAAATGAAGATGATGCATGTGCTTAATAAATGATATTCCAGCAAAGAGATTCATGCAATAATTCTTTATATTCTATTTTCTACGTTTCTTATTCTACTTTATATTATATCAATATTTGTGGGTCAGAAAAAAAATTTACAAGTAGCAACAGGTAATAAAAAGAGCAATATATGTAGATTTAAGAATGGTAAAGTACAAAGTATATTATAAGCATCAGACAGTTGTTAAAGGAAGCTAAATATCAGAATTCTAATAAGGTTTTCTTTTTTATGTGTATTAAGGTATTATCTACCTTTTTGACAACCTATATAGTCATCCAATGGATTACCAACAAAGTTGGGTGGACACTGGCATACACCAGTGTGTTCCTCAGCCACACAAATAGCATTTTGACCACAAAGTACTGTTGCACAAGAATCTGAAAGGAGGAAAAGAAAAGATAATTACCCAAATATAATATTATTCACAAATTATTGTGTCTTTCATCTGCTGCTTAACTACTTTGGAATGTGTTTTGTTTAATTCAACTGAAATACACAAACATTTATGTAGGAATGGGTGCTGATACAGTAATTAAAATTACCTATAACAGTTATGGTAAGAACAAAAACATATAAAACTCACTTTGACAATCATTATATCCTTTGCTGTTTGATCGACAAGTTTCTATACCCTCACAATCAGTGTCAGAACTGCATCTGTCAACTAAGATAGAAAAAAAATGGATAAATAAATGATATTTGTGTAAAAAATAATAGTTTGTAGGCAAGAATGAATGTTACTTGAATGTTCATAATATGTAAAGTTTAGGTAATTTGTTACGTTTCAGAACTTTAAATGAAAAATCTTTACAAACAAGTTAATTATTTTATTTTCTTAGCACTTAGTGCTTTTAGACATAGCCTGTAAGATAACTACAAGGTTAAATATTTAACTCATATTTTTTATATTATAGAATTTTAATTTCAATTTTCCACCTTAAATATTAACAACAACTATTATCTAGAATGTACCTAAAAATAACCAGCAACTTATATTATTTTTTTAAACAAATGTACATAAAAACTAAAGCCATACCATTAATACATTTTTCATCTACACAAGCTTGGCCTTCTGGACAATCACTGTTACCTTGACAAACAGCTGGTGGAAATAAACAAGTTATGTTAATGTGTATATGAGGTTCTACTTAAAGTCATTTGATCAAGTTGCTCACTACAATTTTTTACATTTCCAATATTTCTTAACCTTCTTTGTATTCATACTATATTGTAATTGGTATAAAGTACAAAACTTTCAATAGAATGCTACACTCTACACTACATGAAATAATTAACTCTATGCAAAATATACATAGTAATTTAGATTTCATACAAACATAAGTTATGAAATTCACTCATGCTACAGATAATTCTAGTTGAGTTTTCTACACATTCATTGTGCTTTGGAAGCACATTTTTTTTTATTGAAGTAAAGTGAAACTTGTATATATACATAACTATATACTGTATTCTTGTATAAATTACACAAATGTATAAGGAATGAAATGTTTGTTTTTCATATTTTCCTCTCACAAATTAATTTTAAAATATTCTCATATTTATATTTTTCATGGCCATTGGATTTTGCTCCACAATTTTATGTTAGAAAAATAACTGAATTTATATATATATATATATGTGTGTGTGTGTGTGTGTGATGACTGAAATAGTCATAAATTGATATAAATAGGAAGATTCTAGAGTTTCAATCTACAAATTTTATTTGGCTAAAAACTGGAATAATTAAGAACATAAACAATTATTCCAATTTTTAAAGTCACGAACTTCAAAATTCTATAACTAGTTTACAATATATTCTCAGTTAGTTATATTTAGGTACATTATTGTGCAGGTATGATACACTTGTTAATCAAATGTTGAAAAATCGTAACATCTACTGATCCTACTACTCAGGAAAAGTTTACATAATGTCAATATCTATAAATTCATATTACTTTGGCCCTGTGTCTGACCCCCTCCCTGGGAAGTGATGAGCTCATTTCAGGGGCTGACATATATACTTTCATAAAATGATATGAATTATGGTTTTTTTCTCTCCTGTAAACGTTATTTGGAATAGTCAGTTTCACATGCAACATTGGATTCTGGTATACCACACTTTTAACAGTTTGTCTAAATTTATTTGTTTTTGTTCTGTGTGGATATGTGTAGAAAATACTCCTTCAGTCAAGCAGCCAAAGTCACAGTGGAATTGGAAGCTGGCCAATACGTGTTATCACTTACACTTCTGAATAAAGATTTTGTTTATTTGATCACTTGCATTTCTTTTATTACCCAAGTTACAAATCATTCCTGAATCTGCATTATGTGAATACTTTCAAACTTATCTGTCAGATGCCAATGTACCTGAATACCATATAGTAAGTGATAAATAATCTGTAAAACAAGCAGAAACTGTAATATGATGAAGCATGGACTAGCTTCAGACTCAAAAAGAGTAAAAAACATTAACAACAAATTAACAAACAATCTCACTATAACAATATTTTATTGTATTTTAAAAATAAGAAAATCTTGTTTTAGACAAAAGACTTAAAGTTTGTCTAAACACCAAAACATTAATTTTCTGTAATACCATTGCTGTTGCAAATCTGAGGTAATTTCTAATCAATCAATGTATGGTTACAACTAATACAATATTGAAAAATAAATACCTTTTGGTTTTATACATTGAGTGAAAGTATTTGATACTAAGTAAAATCTGATAATTTTGTATGCTAAATACTGCTGACTTATTTGCAGTCTTGTTTCTTAGTTTTACATTAGTCACATAGACAGCTATTGTAATAATATATTAAATCAATTTGAAAATATAAAGAAATCTTTACTTACTGATACATTTTTCTTCATGACAAAGTTCATTAAGTCCACAGTCTCGGTTGGAATTACAGGCCACTGTGGTCAATCAATGATTGGTTAGGACAAGTAAAATAAACTCCACTAAAATATTTTATGTTGAAAACAGGTACTCAATAAGTTTATATCAATAAACCTTACAAAAACAAAATCACCTCTTAATGTTAGATATAATCAGTTTTTCAAATATTTGAATTTCATGATTTCATGGAATAAAACCTATTTGGGTGAATTTTAGATGCAAAAATAATTTTTTTCCAGTATTACTAAACCATTCTTTTTATTAAAACTTTTAAGTATTAAAGTCATATGTCGTATTAAAATGTATTTTGATGAACATACAATTCAATCAATGATAAATTTCAAAAAATAGACCACGTCTCCATATTTTTCCATTATAGCAGAATTCTCCACTAGTATCAAAGTCATATATTTTATTAAAATTTATTTTAATGAATATACAATACAATCATTGATAAACATTTTGAAAAATAGATCACCTCTGCATATTTTTCCATTATAGCAGAATTCTCCACTAGGACAGTCTTGATCCTTGACACACGTTATAATTTCTGTGTAAAGAATAATAATGATAATCAGTAAGTTTTCTAACTTATAACAACGGTTGTTTTCTGATAGTATAAATTACTTGCCTGAATTAAAGAATGTTGTATGTATGGTACAAATGATTTTTGTACAAGAACTTATATCAGGTATCACTCAACATAAAGTCAAATTTTGTTTATAATAAACATCAATATTTTCTGGATGGCTGATTAAATATTGAAACAAAAAACTTACTTCTGCATCCAGCTACAGGATCTCCATAATATCCATCTTGACACCTACAGATGCTGCTATGATCCTGTGATACACAGTTGGTGTTTTTGCCACAAATTATCTGACCAAGACAGGCATCTGTAGAGATTTAATGCAGTTTGTGATCATAAAATAATGATAAAAAACATGAGAGAAAAGATTTTTGAAACCATTTTTGAATAATTGCTTGAACTAAATTTTAGTTAAATACTTTATTTTTGATTTTTCCCTCTCATTCTATAAAATAAACCAAATTAAATTTTGCAAAGATGGACTTACCAACACACCGGTTTTTTAAACAAACTTCATTGTTATGGCACTCTTGGTTCTTGATGCATTCCACTAGTTAAAGAACAGAACCATGAATATAAAAGAATGTAAGTAATATATCAATACAAACATCTGCACATGATGACTACAAACTATTTTGTAAAAATCATAACTAAATATTTGATGAAAGCATTCAAACTACAAAAATATGAGAAAAGTTATCACAGAAATAATCATAAAAAAATAAAATATAAAAATGAATAAAAATCTCCCAATGATATTCTATTTGTAAAAGCTACTTGGAAAATAATAAAAATCATTGTTCTAAAAACAAGTTTGTTAAAAGTTTGAATTATTTTAACTTTCAAATACTCTACTAAAATATAGGTAAAAACAAATGCACAATTTCTAGATTTTAAGACATTACCTTTTTTACACTGAATCTCTGGATTTCCTGTAAATCCAAAAGGACAAGAGCAAACAGCTTCATGATTGACTGCTTTACATGTGGCATTAACACCACAAGATGTAGGATCATCACAAGGATCTGGGGTAAAATTTGATATAATTTTATTTTGGAAATTGGCTAGATAACCAACAAAACATTTAGAGGTTTTGAACTTCATAATACATACAAGTTAAGATGTAATAAAAAATTAAACTACTATTTTGTACATAGGAAATATTAATTCAATTGTTTTTAATGATTTTTTATTTGGTCATAAAAGAATTATATTCAGCTTTGAGGAGGGTTTTCTGGGGATCTGTAACACTTTGATTATTATTTGTGCACAAGTAGTTGTCTTTAGAGAATAACAATATTAATACATTATATAGTGCTTCAGTATATCAGCTGCAATACTAAATGTTCAAAGGTGTATCTAAATACTGATTTTTTCTTTGAATTTTATTTAATTTGATAACTAAGGAAATTAGGTGAGATTTTATGGAGAAAAAATAAAGTGAGACAAAAAATAGCAAAATGGTTATATAATTACATTTTGATAAAAATAGTTTTACCTTTACAATAAGGTACTCCATCAACCAACATACAAGCAGCCGTGTCTAAACAGTCACTGTTCCCATTGTAGCAAATGTTGGGATCATGACCTACAAGCAGAAAAAAATATTTGCTGCTAAAATATGATTTTAAAAGTTAAAAAAAATATATTTACAAATATAAATATAAACTTTTTGAGGTTTGAACAACAGACTAACAAAGAATGTACAATACTTCTTAGTACAAAAGAATTACAATAGAAAAATTTAGAATTTTATTTGTTGAATTTTGTACAAAGCTTTTTGATAGCTACCTGCACAAGCCAACCCTAACTATGAAGTAATAGACTAGAGGGAAAGTAATTAGTCAATACCACCCATCACCAACTCTTGTCAGACTAACAGTTGGATTTGACTGTCACTTGCATAACACACCCACAAACCCAAAATTATAATTAGTGATCATAACCTTGAAACAGAAACTGGATGACATATATGCATAGCAACAGTTCTCACTGTTTTGCTAATATTATTTTTCTCAATATATAATATAACTCATTTATTTTTAGTTTGATGAGCTTCAAAAGAGATTTATAAAAGCTTAATAAGTTAAACCCAAACTGTTTGATAAATTTATTAAATTTCTTGTTACAGAAGATGTATTATTGAAGAAAATTATAGGTTTCAATTGATATGTATTTGCATTGGGAATGTCAGGATCAACATTTCTTTCTAGTAGCTCATAATGTTTTATGATCTATACGAGACACTATAATGTGGCTATATTTACATTTAATTCCTGTTTGATAAAGGAACTGAGATCAGGCAAAAGATATAGTGACAAACATAAACATATTATATTTTAAAAATTATGATTAATATCCAATCTAAGGAAACTATCACAGCAGTTATTTTATTTAAAAGTTATATTTACATAATTATCCATGAGTCATAATAAAATTTAGAATCTGAAGTACATCTAACAACATAAGTAAGTCATCTAGGAGCAAATAAATCACTTGTTATTTAAATACACGCTTTCTTGTGTAAATATGGTTGGTAAAATGAAACATATTTTTGAAATAATATTAAGTAAGAGTTACATACATCCTGGAGAGATTCTTGGATCACCTACAAGACCAAGTGGACAACTACATGTATAGCTTCCTTGCACATTCTCACATATGGCACTAGAATGACATGGATGTAGCTTGCATTCATCTATATCTGAAAGTGTTAATGTTCCAAAAAATAAGATTAATTAAGCACAATAAAAGAAAACCTACACATATATTCAACACTATACTATGCATAATATTTCTCAGTATGTTTGTCAGATGTTGTGGATATATACATTTATATGCCTTTGATTGAAGAACCCAAAGATATCCACTCAATAACAACACCTCTTTAGTATATCAAGAAACTTGTACTTTAAAATCTATAACTCTTAGTACAATTTTTGAATAAATTATTCAGTTTTCTTTCTACTTTAGGAAATTTTGTCTTAATATATGCTTTGGACACATTATTAATATTATGCCAGCTACTAACCAATACATGACAAGTGGTTATTATTCTCAAAACCAGGTTGGCATCGACACACTGCTTGACGATTTCTGACCACACAAGTTCCTTCTGGTCCACAGTCAACAGTAGTACAGGGACCTATATTGAGAGGGAAAAAGATCAGACTTTAGAAGTAAAACATGCCTATTATGCATAATTATAAGAATATATAAACTGAGAAAAGTTAAGATCATGTTCAAAAATGGAAAAAACTGACAATCTGATTTAAGAATATAGAAAGTAGCCAGATGACTATGTAATAAAGATATAAGTAGCGTTAGATGATTGGAAAGCAGCAGACAGACAGTATTAGACAGATAAAAGCAAAGAGAATATAGATGGCATGAAGTTAAGTGATGTAAAATTGATAGGCCTAATGTTTAATATATATCAGAAGAAAGAAGACCACAATCGTAAGTGAATCACACCAGACTAATATTGCGATAGTATTAGAGAAAATAGGTTGGTTTATCAGCTGAGATTCTAAAGTAATTGAACAGGCTTAAGTGGACTTTTGACAAAAAGAGAAGAACTGTACATATACTGATATAATGTTTACGATATGCTTATATTCTCTATAGTGTGAATACTTTATTGTACATACGTTTAACTTGTTCCAAATATATATATTTGAAAACAAGTAAAGTGTGTATGCTGTTTATTCATCATTGAATTTATCGCTAACAAGTCACAGACACCTATTGTAGATGAATCCTAGGTCCAACAACTACATAGTATATATTTATACTGTTAAGAAATATAAGTAAAATCCATTTATTTCACCAATTGGCAAAAAAAACAAAACAACCAGAACCCATATACATATATAATATTTTTATTTTTTTAAATCTGACATGTACAAGAATAATGGTGGAATCAAACATGTTACATCTTCAAGACTCTAGAATAAAATATACTTACTTTCACATCTGAATTGCAAACAGTGTTGATCAGTAGCACAGTCTGCATCATGAAGACAGTCAACTAGAAAGTTGATGAAATATATTACTATTTGTAAGTTGCATTTTTTGACACATACAATCCAATAGATCATGAAAAAGATTTTTCTTTGCAGATGATCTCCAGCTTAAATTGTCTAGAAACTAAAAGTTTATCTAGCATACTAATGAAAACTAGTTGCTAATTATAATATTTGTATAACAATAAAAAATTAACACAAAAATGTGTTGTGCTATGAATTAATTGGAATATGACTTCTGGAAAAGAATTCATATTTATATAATTATAATTACTGAAATCACTAATTAACAGAGAAATGATATACCATAAAATGTACTTGATATGATACTGTAGAAGCTATGATAAAAGTTGCCACAACATATACAGTTTAATAAAATCACACACACTTCTCTAGTGAAGCCACTTTAATCATTACTTTATAGTATGATCTACACCATGATGAATTGTATATACTTTTTACTTGAAACATACTTTCAAAATATTTCTTGCAAATGCACAGTTGAATTTTTTCATAAGAAATTAACCTTTTTTTTAATTACAGTAAAAAGAGTGAAATGTTAAGTAATAAAGAAGACTAAATAATGGTCAAAATTTATTGTAAATAAGTGTAAAGTATTGTACAAACATCATGTGGAATTTTAATAGTGCATACAAACAGTAATTGGGATAGACTTTTGGCTGCTGTATGTACTACATATCTGATGAGGTCCAACACTGAAAAAAAGCCTACTAAAGTTGTAGAAAACAAAAACAGAGATCCCAAGTTTTATTTAACAAGTTTCTTTATAATGGATTTGGCAAGAGAAATAAATATTTTCAGTTAAACTGGTAAAGTTTGATGTGTGACTATAAAAGAGAAACCTTAATATATTCAATTCAATATATAATTGATTCATAAAGATTGTTTGTTAACTGCAAATATTTTTTCATTCTGGTTTTCACATACATAAACTATCATAAGAAATATTTTCTTCAATAAGTGACATTTTAAGTAATAAAAAAGATTTAATTTGCTAGCATTAGCAATTGACCATTATTCAAAGTTGGGTAAACATATTCACTGCAGAATGATCATATACTGATATTGTCATTTATACATATATAGACCGCAGCTTGGAAATTCATGTAGTGCACATTACATGATCATGTATTTAATACTTTACTGTGAAAATAAAAACAGTGGAACATCAACATTTATCAATATGACATTATGGTGACAATATAACTACTTAAGCACAGTTTTATGATGACATAATCACATTTTGTTACTGTATACTTTTACAGTATTTACCTTATAACCTGAAGGTACTCCTACATGAATATCATAGTATTATGGTGGTACTACCATGGGTTTACAACAATAATACGATTATTTTATGGTATTAATATGTTTTCTTTTATTATATAGTTATGTATATACCATAGTGTATAAGATGTTTCTAAGATAACAATATTTCTCTGAACTGCTCAATACACTTCACCCTATTTTTATATTGATAATTTAGTTTTATAATGTTATTCTTAGGATAAAATGTACTTAAACTGCAATCAGTTAAAGCAGAAATCTCCAACAAGTAGACAAAATCTATTTGTAATAAAGATTTATAAAAAAATTCAGAAAGTACATGAAACAAAATTCAGTGTTAGTAAGTATCATTTCTTCATTGAACAGATGATGAATATTCACTAAAGTGGTTATATTGAACAGGTGATGAGTGTTCACTAAAGTCATTATACTGAAAAAGGTTGCCTGATGAAGGTTCCAGTAAGAGAGCCTAAAGCTTGTAGTTAAAGATAAAGTATATAACACAGAGAACAGTATGTGTGTGCTTGTGTATTTTTACAAAATACTTTAAATGTTCGTGACACATATAGAATGTTCAAGACAAAAGTGAAAAACATTCCCACAGGATGTTGCATATCAGTAGGTACACTAAATTCTTGTCACAACAATGTAAATTTAAAAGTACAACTTCGAGATACCTGTTCAAAATCTATTTGTTTTGAAATAATACACAATCTAAAATTTGATCACCTTTAATACATCCTTTCTGCTTATCATAAGGATCACCAGTGAAAAGGCCAGTTTTTGGACAGAAACATTCAGGTTTATGGTTATAAACAACACATCCAGCATTAGGACCACATGGTGATTCACTACATGGATCTATAGAAACAATGAAGATTTATGAACTTGAATAACTTAACTACTACAGAGGCTTATTTTGTTTGAGTCTGACCAACTGATATCATTGCAACAAATAAAAAACATGCCAATAATTGTTTAAGCAGAATATAAAAAAATTTCCATAAAGTTTTATTTTCTTAAACTGTTCTTATATTTGATGAATAAGCTATAATACTACAACTGATTTACATGTTCAAAGAATATATGTGTTTTGTGAATAATAATTTTATGCAAAGAAAACAAGTGCACAGACCCTGTACATAGTTGCTTGGCTGAATGACGGCTTTATAGGCAAGCATAATTATAAATTGTTGATTTAATTTTAATAATATAATATCATAAATTACAAATATTACTTTTAATTGTTAAGATTTATTCATTAAATGACTTCCCATAATCATTTCCCAATTTAAAAAAAAAAACTGATTTTATAAAAAATATTCAGTATATTTTAGCTTCTTTAACAGAAAAAAATTTAAGTATTCAAAATATTGCATGAACTATACAGTCACCAAACTACAAGTTCGTTTTTATTTCGTAATATTTATGTTCTGTTGAAAATCTTTACAAATGAAAACTAAACATTTCTGTACTTTCCGAGTCTAAGGTATCAATTCTACAAGATTTTCAAAAAATTACAAGTTACTTAGCACATTATGCTAATATAATAACAGGTAAGCAAACAATGGTTAATAAGCATAAGAAAAGGTTTTATTGATGGTGGAACATACATATTTCAACAGAACATTGGTTTGTCTTCTTCAGGTATGATCAGTACAAAGCATATATGATTTACATATTGTTATAAAGACGAAAGACACAGGGCTTAAATGCAATGGAAATGATGTCAGCAGGTGACAGGATATAGGTCAAGTCTGGTCAAGTGTATGAACGGTAAATAGAACTTGCCCAAATAATGGATTAATGATGGGATTCTCCCTGTCCCATCTCCTTAGTGACCTCTACATGTCCATTTTAAAATAAGAACTGTTTGGAAACAAATTATTAAACACCAAGAAACCTGAAATCTGATTAACATATGTAGGTGATATCTTCAGTATATGGTGATGTGGGAAAGAGACGCTACTCAATTTCATCGAATTCTTAAACAAAATGAGACCCAATGTCATAAAATAAAACATGAAATAGAATCCAATAGTTTTTTAGATGTGAATGTAAAAAGAAAAAATAATAAAGTTATCATCATTATATACAGGAAACCCCATTACGTCATCATACCACCACACATAAGATCTAATCACCACCTATCACAGAAACTATCTTCCTATTTCACCTACATAAATTGTACTATACAACTTTGCACCCACAAAGAAGACTTACTTATTGAATTAAACTACCTAAAGAACATAGCACTATTTAAAGGTTTCAACCCCAATATCATAGATAAGCTTGTATTAAACTTCAAAACAGTGAAAAATATCATGTTAAATCTAACCTTTCACTTATCAACAATACAAAATAAAAAACAAACTTGTTTCATTCCCTTTTGTGTCAGAAATTGCTAGCCTTTTTAATAATTGGAGCATTGATATAAGAACTGTATTCAAACCTTCACATAAAATTAGCATCTTACTACCTAACCTGAAAGAATCCCTATTAAAAGAACAAAAACAAGCCATATACAGTATTCCATGTGAATATAGAAAGAAATACATAGGACAAATGTCACCTTTCTTAGAAATAAGATGCAAAGAACACCAAGGTCACATGCATAGGGATGAATTCCAAATAGCTGCCTTAACATATCATCAGTATGAAAGAGTTTACAAAATACTTCGATATGAACATTTTCTCGTACACCAAACCAAAACTAAAAAAGAAAGAGACTGTTTAGAAACTATAAAAATCAGAGCAAATGATCTCTCACTAAACTGTGATAATGGCCCTAGTAGCATTAACCATATTTGGCAATGTCTATTCACCATTCATACACTTGACCAAACTTGACCTCTACTCATATACTGTCACCAGTTGACACCATTTCTGTCACATTTAATCCCTGTGTCTTTTGTATTTCTAATGATACATAAACTTTGTATGGCTTATTACTGATCATATCTGAAGAAGACAGACCAATGTTCTGTCAAAACATGTAGTATGTTCCACCATCAATAAAACTTTTTTTTTTTTATGCTTATAAATCATTGCCTACCAATTATTAAATTATATGTTGTTGTCTTAATACAGTAGCATAATAAACATAAATTTATTATGGCAATTACATATACAGGAAAAATAAAACAAAAGCAGATACAAGTTGATTTCCTGTAAAATTCTCTTAATTATTTTTACTTCAAATGGGTTTAAGTTTGGACTAATTTTATAGTTTAGATGAAAGGTGTATTTTTTTAATTATTTATAAATTCCCACTTTCTAATCATTTTATACTAACAGGACTCATCACACAAAATGGACCCTATTACTAATCCTTATGGTTGACTATGAATGTTTTAATCATATTCCATATAAGTTTCTAAATGGAATTTCACAATTTTCTGTTGTAGTCTAAATAACTTCAGTTTAAAAAGGAAGCAAGAAAAAGTACCAAGTTTCACAAAAGATATAAAACAGTACAAGTTCTTTCCTACCTCTACAAGGAAGTTATAGAATTTTCCAAATCATGCAATGCTAGTGGTAACACTGAACAATTGTTATAGTGATGTCCCCAGAGTAACTCACTTCATATGTAAACTTTAGATGTATGCAAAATATCTGTCCATATGTTACATGATTCATCCTATAGTGTTTCAATTATTCATATTGATTATACATATTATCAGAATTATAGGCCAAGTTGATTAGTCTTAAGAAATTAAATATTCCTTATAAAAGTTTATATGCACATTAAATATTTTATCAAATAAAAAATGAATGCTCACCAACACATTTTGGAATTCCATTCTCATCTTGACCACATGCACTATTAAATGGACAATCACTGTCACCATTTGGACACTCTCCGGGCCTATAACCTGTTTTATTTTTAAAATATGAAAAATACTTAAATTCTTTATTTCACAAAACTGGTTTTAGTCTAGATATTTGAGCAGGTGCATTTCCACTTTTATACCTAATATCGCTGTATAATCAGTTATAAGATACTATAAACAGTCCTTACTGGCTCAATTCAAACACTTCACAGTAGCATTATATTACTAAAACAATCTAAAGTGCAATAATTTAGTATTTGTTTATGGATTGTATAGTATAACATCTTGTAATCCTCGTCATACCATACTAACTAAGCAAATTTCTATTGTTATGTTTCTACTTTTTTTAACGCTATACGAACAATGCCTGACTAATGAATTAAAAAAAATGTAAGAAATATTTAAAAACATAAAATTTTAAATGCTTACATCCTTTAAACCCATCCCCAATTTGTCCTGTGCGGCATCCGCAATAGAAGGTACCAGGAGAATTCTCACATGTAGCAGTTGGATGACACGGGTTAGAGCTACATTCATCAATATCTGTAATGCAAAACAATGTTTGTTTCATACTTTTTTTTATATAATTAACAGAAGATCATTCATAGTGTACTAATTCTAAACAAATGCTTTGATGTAAGTAATTTATGACTTTTTATATTAATCTTTTAATATTAAAAGCAAAATTTTATTTACAATATAAATCTTTGGTCCCAGAAAAGAAAAATGAAGAATTTTAGATAAAAAAACAAGTAAATTACCTGTGCATACTAAGGGAAACAAGAAACTAAGCAAAATATTTTGCACACCTCATTTTGAATTACCATAGAGATTTTCATGTCAATTTTCAAGTAAATAATTTTTTTTTTTTGGCAAATGGAACTCCTCAAACCCTTGATCTTCATATAAGGGAAGAAAATGAGCATTTATATGTCTGTGTCTATTTTCATTTCAATCTGTGCAAACATTTCCGAGAGCTTCCAAAACACACCCTTGATATCCCACATGAAGGACCCAATATGAAAATTTCCAAAATCTGAATGGCTCTTTACACGTTACTACCTATTTTTGAAATAAAAATCTGGTTTAGTCAAGCATGAGAGGTTCCATGTCTCTTTGATCTCCCATTTTTCGATCCCTTCATGACTCTTACTAAACTTCTTTCCTCATTTATATTTTATAGGTCTACATGCAAGAATTTCAAGCCATTTTGTCAAAGTGTGTAGGAATTAAAAGAAAAGTAAACATAGAAACACAGATATATATACATATGGACAGTTAAAAATTATTGTAAAAAACATAGATTAAAGATTTTTTGAGTGTGACAAATAGTTCAAAAATGGCTCAGCAACAAAACAAAAAAATACAATGATAGAAGTATAACAACATTACCATTTTTTATTCTTATCTTATAGTGTTTTACCAGTATATAATATATTTACCTGAGCATCCACTTGCATTACGTTGAAACCCTGTCTTACAAATACAACTATAAGAATCACATATTTGACTCAAATGGCAATCAGCAGTGTTTCGACATCCAACTAGAAAAAAATTATGAATGAATAATGTTAATATTTTAACATATGTATCTTAAGTCCTCAACTTTAATCAAATATTCAATATTTTAAAGTAAATTACAGAACTTAAACTTTCATCAAATTTGAAAAATAAGAAGCAGAAACAATAATGAAAAGTTTTCTCAGTCTTTTTTTTCAGTCCCGAAGGTGTCTGGTAAGATGTGTATGTGAAATTCAGTGATAAAGAAATGGTTCTAATACACACACACACGTAAACACATTTAAATAAGCTACAAAATGTACACAACAGATTACATCAATTAAACTAAATTAACTCTATCTAACTATATATATATATATACATATATATATATATATATAAACAGATACACACACTTAGTATTAGATACATACCTTGACAGTGCTGGTTAATACAGATCTCTCCTGTTGGACAGTTACTGTCACTTGTACAGGAAACTAGAAAAACAGAAGTGTCAGTGACACAGAAGCTAAAATATCATAAAATACAAAATGCATTAAAATGATACAAAACTATTTGATACAGAAAAATAATCTCAAAGGCATTTCTCTAGTACAAGTATTGAATATTCTTAATAGTAAAAAGTTAACTAAATATTTCTACAGGTTTGGACAGTAATCAAGAATTGAGAAAACTGTTATAATTTTAAGTACTTCTTCTGTAAGGTTTGGTAAAGAAACAAATTCATTATGTGCCAATTTTTGTAGTGAATGTAAATAAAAATTATTTCATGTCATGAAATATTACTAAGTTGATCCTCAGTAAAATATTTTTGTGACTCGTTAAAAATCTTTCATATAATTAGTTTCTCATTTACATAACCATAGAAAGATATTTCATGATTTTTCAAAGCTACATAATGCTTCATATGAAAAAAATAGATGTATACAACAAATTACTGAAAATCTAAACATACCCAAACAGATATTATCAATACATTTTTCTCCTTCAACACATTTATCACATGGTGGACGACACCGTTCCATTACACAGATGAAAGGTGGTGGGCAGGAGTCTACAGGTGAGCAGACAGTAATCACACGCTTGCAGCCCAATACTGGTGATGGGTTTCCTTCAAAGCCTGGAGGACAAGAGCATGATGGCTCATGATTTTTCACATCACAATGAGCATGTGATCCACAAACTCCTACAATTTTGCAAGGATCTTCACATTTATTTTGGATACAGGCCATTTTTGGACCACATTCTGCATTTTCTCTGCATCCAAGTTGGCAGAAGCCATTTGTGATGCATGCCTCACCAGATGGACAGTTATTGTGAGAAAAACAAGGAATTGTGCAGCGATTTTTAATACATTTTTCTCCAACAGCACACTCACTGTCACGAGTGCAAAACAGTCTACACTGTCCACTTACACAGGCTTGGTTGTCAGAGCCACAATCTTCTACTAGCAAACAGTGCTGAGAAACTCTTACACAACCATCATTAGGTGTAGGGTTTCCACGGAAATTATCTAGACAAGAGCATGTTGCTTGATGATCAATGACTTGACAATTTGAATTGGACCCACAGCTTGCTTGTTCACAAGGGTTTTTGCATAAGAATCCTTCATTTGGGTCATCCATACAAGCAGAATCTGTTGGGCAATCAGAGTCTCCATTTGGACAAGAATTTGGATGATGGCAACCATTTGTATAAGGATCACCAAGGTATCCTGTGGGACAATGGCACTTGTAACTTCCAGGCACATGAACACACTTAGCTGATGAATGACAAGGTGCTAATTCACAAAATTGTATGCTCTCACAACCACCCAGATAGGGGTCACCTGTGTAACCAGGACGACAGCGGCAGACAGCCTTGTGACTCTCCACTAAGCAGACAGCTTGGACTCCACAGTGATTTACACATGGGTCTACAAGATATAAAAACATGAATTTTATACTTTTTAACATATAATTTGTTGAAGCAAGCCTGTTTCCTAAAATTGTGTTGAAATAACAATAGATTCTGTTACAACAATATGATAAAGTATGATGTACAAAATATACACACAGTGAAAAAAAGAAGAAAGAATTTGAATTTGCACTACCAGTAATCAAGAATTGAGAAAATTGTAATAATTTCAAGTACTTCTTCTGTAAGGTTTTATCTACTCTGAATGTACCAATATGGACTATTTAGTTCACAGGGGTAACTTCATGGGAAAATTATCATACACAAAATTTCCTTACCATAGCAATAATGTTGAGGGGCACAAGCCCTGTTGTCGTCACAGTGGTCGTCCTTCAGACAGTCCACTAAAAAAAAAAATTTCCTTTTCCACTTCAGCTTACTACCATATGCTGATTAAATAAACTGACAAAAGGATTTTCATGTGATTAAATATATCTGCCTGGTATATTCTAATCTATTTACAATACAGAAAATGAGACTTGTGTATAAAATAAAATAAAGAAGGCTAAAAATATATATTTCACATAAATAATAACCTTACCTTCCTTACAACCATGCAACGAGTCATATGGGTCACCAATAAACAGACCAGTTGGACACTGGCACTCAGCTTTGTGATTTAGTGTGACACAAACAGCATTAGGACCACAACTAAGTCTATCACAAGCATCTGCAAAAAAAAAAAAGAATAATCAATTAAAAAAAGCCTTGATGATGAAATCTGGTTCCAAAAGTAACCTATACATGTATTCAATGATAATGAAAAACATTGGGCATAATGTTTATATACATACACTTTTTTGGCTAAAATATATGATACAAATATCAAAAGTACAGTGAAAACCTAGGCTATGCAAATCTTTTAGTTACAGCCTTTTTCTCAGCAACAGATATTAAACACTATATTATGAGAATTTAGAGAATATGCATAGTAATGCTTCTACCAATTAACTTTTTCAACCCGGGCTCAGTCCCTGGGACCGACCTTGTAACCATTTTGTGCTTGTTATAGTTTTCATGCTATAACTTTTAAATTAGAAAGCAAATGTTAACAACATTTGGCAGTTTATTAGTAAACATTACAATGCTTTCATACGCAAAATATCAAATTTTTTTATTAAGTCTTAAGGTTTTTAAAGCAATGTTTCTCTCATGCAAAGTACTTTTCATCTTAACATTAAAAATACTTTTATGCATTAGAAAATTTCGAAATTTTACATGCAAAATCTTTATAATGTCCAAATAGTTATCAAATGTTTCTTAAGAAAAAACTTTATATTTTATCTATTATTTTCAGTAATTAATCTCTGTACAGGTTCGGTAGATTTGACCAATCTTGCAACCACCATAAAAAATTAGGAACTAGATATAAATGATGTCTCTTTTATTCTAGAATGACTACAAATTATAACACGAAAACATAAGTGTTTAGACGAAATAGCTTAAATCAAATAAGATTATACATTTATATATATCTATTATTTTTCACCTGTGCCTGGCTAGGAATACAGAAGTTACAATGACGTGGCTCACGTGCACTCATGTTACCAATCAAATAACATAAAACTGACCTTTGGTCTGTGCAAAGTAACTTGTCTTGGCTATGTTTTAGTTGACTAGTATTTTGTAAAAGTTGTCACATTTCAATTATTATACATTATATATGTATATAGATTATTGCTATTTTTAAATAAGTTCTTAAATTTATTTTTCCTAAATCATATAACAGTAAATAAAGAAGTAAAGCAAACAATTTTCTCTTCTAGTTATGACCTCGGTTGCTGCTTGATGTAGGTTGCTAAGCCTTTAAATATTTTGCATGTGGAGGATATGAAACAAAATATTTTTTTTAGGTTTTATATATACATTTGAATAACTAAAAAATCATAAGTTGCTACATCAATACCATAGAATTCTACTATAATTTATACAGCTTGGTAACTATGATGTATTTTAGTCTAAAAAATATGAAATTTCAAGCAGACTAAAGACACAACCTTAAATCTTGATTTAAAAGAAAGAAATTATGCTAGGTACATTAGAAAGACTTAGAAAACTACTAGGGGAACATTCTGAGCTTCTGATTGGTTATTCATATCATATATAGAAGTCAGTGTTTATAAGGGAGTGTTTCTAAAAAATGAAAGGAGGTGAGCAGGGTGCTACAATGTTTGATTTATTATGTGATCAATATCTTGAAAAAATGAAAAGATAAGAATCTCTTATTAAATATTCTAGCTTGTCAATATCGGTAATTTGAGTTTCTAATTCATACAAAACCATAGACTTAGCATTTTGATTTCACAAACACCTAATTTGAACCAGTGCTGCATTCAACATATCACGTGACATACAAAAATCAACGTTTTTCTGTTTATCTAATATTTGTTTTTAAATTAAGAAATTGAGTACTATATAGTACT